AGAGCTCGCTCAAGAGTTCGAGCTCTGAGCAACAGTGGTTTGATGCCCGGCCTGAGCTGAGCTGCCACTGAGCTGCCAACAGGTGGCAAGATGGCCAGCTAAAAAAAAAAAAAAAATGTTTTAAAGATGGTTTTATTTTTAACTTTTTTTTTTTTTTTTTACTTTTTTATAATATAAAGAAAAGTATTAGAACTTACATAAGGGCACAGAGCTAATGTATTTAGTATTGGATTCAAACCCAGATTTGCTTATCATTTAAGGCCAGTTCCTTCTATGAAATACTGTCTTTGTTTAAGATTCAGGATTTTATGACTTAGTTACTGAAGTGTTTCTTAACATTAAATTTGAGGGCATGTACCTGCTTTCCCAGTTGGCTATGCTTTGGCCCCAGGTGCTGTGTAGTAACAATCACTTTCTTGAGACTTTTACACAGAAAATACAGCTAAGCCTGCTCTGCTTTCTCCCTAGGAGTGTGTGCCTCTTAATGCAGGTCTCAGTGCCCTGCGCGCTCTTCGCTGCTTCTCCATCAGAACTTCGTTTGAAAGGTGGAACTAATGCTGAAATGGCACCGCAAATTGATTACACAGTGATGGTAAGGGCTTTTGCTGTTGCTGACAACATAAGATGATCTTATATAGTCTGAATCTCCATTCTTTATTTAAATATAACCTGAGTGTTTTTGTGTACATACCTGTTTATTTCCTCATGATGTCTAGTTCTGTTGTGGGAGGGAGTAAGGGATTATGTTAACTTTAGATTTAGTGTTGTATCTTAGAACAGTGTTCATAGTGAATTCCTTAAAAACCCCAAGTGTAATTATTATATAAATTATATTATTTATATAAATTGGTTTTATGTATATAGGAATTACGATTTGGAAGAGAAAACTCAAGAATTAAATCCTATGTTTGACAAGAGTTGGTGAGGATGTGAAGAAATTAGAGCCTTAGCACATTGTTGGTGGAAATCCAAAAGGGTGCAGCCACGATGGAAAACAGTATGATGGGGCTGGCCGAGTGGCTCAGCTGGTTAAGAGCTCGCTCAAGGGTTTGAGCTCTGAGCAACAGCGGTTCGAGTCCCGGCCGGAGCTGAGCAGCCGCTGAGCTGCCAACAGGTAGCAGGATGGCTCAGCTAAAAAAAAACAAAAAAAAAAACAGTATGATGATTTTTATTTTAACAAAAATTAAAAAATGAAACTGGCATATAATGCAGCAATCCCACTTCTGAGTATTTATCTAAAAGAGTTGAAATCAGGATCTCAAAGAGATGTTAGCATTCCTATGTTTATCGTAGCACTATTTATAATACCCAAGATGTGGAAACACCCTAAATGTCCATTGATGGATGAATGGATAAAGAGAATGTAGTGTGTATACACAATAGAATATTACTCAGCCTTAAAAAGAAAGAAATTCTAGAAAATGTGACAACATGGATAAACTTTGAGGACATTATGCTAAATGAAATAAACCAGCCACATAAAGACAAATACTGGCATGATGTATCTAGAGCAGTCAAATTCATAGACTCAAAGAGTAGAATGGGTGGTGGGAAAACAGAAATGGGGAGTGTCAGTTAAGCAAGATGAGTGAGCTCTAGAGACCTGCTGTACAACATTGTTCCTATAGTCAACAGTAATGTATTGTACACTTAAAACATTGTGACAAGAATAGATCTTGTGTTAAATGTTCTTACAATAAAATCTTTTTAAAAAAATTAAATACCATATTTTGACTATACATTTTTTTAAATGATAAAACTCAATATTGGCATGCTCATATACCTAGTGAGAAAGAAAAGGGGTATCTTTTTTTTCTCCAGGTTTATTGAGGCATTATTATTTATAGTAAAATTCACTGTATTTAGTGTGTAGCTCTGTGATTTTTGACATGGTTGTGAACCAGCCATCACAATCAAGATACAGAGTTACCGTAAAAAAATTTCCACATACCCTGTTCTAATCAACCTCACCTCCCAGTGCTGGCACCCACTAATCTGTTTTGTGTCAGAGTTTTGCCTTTTTTTCAGGATGTCATGTAAAGGAATAATACATATGGAGTCTTCTGAGTCTTTTTTTCACTTACCAGAATACAGTTGAGATGCATCTGTGTTGCTTGTATCAGCAATAAAAGCTAAGTGGTGTTCTATTATATGGAAGTACCAGTTTGTTTATCCATTCATGTGTTATAGGACAGTTGGGATGTTTCTAGTTTTGGATGATTATCAATAAAGCCACTATCACTATAAATACTTATGTACAGGTTCTTTGTATGAATATGTTTTCGTGTCTCTTGGGTAAGTACCTAGGAGAGGGATTGCTGGATTCTAATAGTAAGTGTATGTCTAACTTTATGAGAAACTGCTAGATTGTTTCAGCATTCAAAGTGACTGCATTGTTTTGCATTTTTCGCCAGCATTGTGTGAGAGTGTCTGCATTCTTCCTAGCACTTGATATTCTCAGATTTTAATTTAAAAATGTTTTGTTGTCATTTTAATACATGGTATAGTTTGATAGGATCTATAATGAAAGTTAATTTTATCTCTCTTCACCTAGTAATCTCATGTCAATCTCACCCTAATTAAATATTACAAAATGCAGCAAAAGATAAATGTTAACGTTTATTTGAGTAGAGCATTAATAATATAATTATCATATGTTATATAACTATGTAATAATAAAAACTTGGAGAATGATTAAGTAAATTATGCTAGAATGCCACACAGTCATTCAAATATTATTTAGGAAGAATTTTATGATGTCGGGAAAATTTTGTTTATAATGTTAAATGGAAAAAATAAGAAGAAAACATTGTATATAATAAGATGAGATTTCAACTGTATAAAAAAATTGAGGGGGGCCGGCTGAGTGGCTCGTTGGTTAAGAGCTCTCTGAAGAGTGCAAGCTTTGAGCAACAGTGGTTTTAAAGCCCGGCCTGAGCTGAGCTGCCAACAGGTGGCAGGATGGCTCAGCTAAAAATAAAAAAATTGAGAAGGCATAATGAAATGCTGTTCACAACACCCCCTAATTTCTTACAGTGGATTATATTGAGAAGGGTTAGGAAATATTGTCCCCTGGGCTAAAATAACCACTGTGATCAAGTATCCTAAGTTGTAAATTTTTTTTCGTTATGTAGACTTACACAGCCCTGATTAATTAAATGTTAAACTTTTTTTTTTTTTTAAGATTTTTATTGGGGAATTGGGGGAAGGGGAACAGACAAGTTGCTGTCCTTTTTTTCTTCAGTCTAGTTGTGGAGGACGTTGCTTCACTGGCCCAAGTTGGCACCATCATTGCGCTCTTCCTGGGTGGGGCAGATCAGTCGCCGGCTTCTGGACGGCCGCTCACGGCGGCTGCTGGCTGCTCACGCTGGCTGCTGGCTACACACGGTAGCCCATGGCAACCCACTGCCACAGGGGCTGCAGCCTATGCCTTTGCCGCCTTTGCCGTGTTGACTCACGGCAGCCCAGCTCCAGGTGGAGCTGTTGTTCAGCATCTTAGCTGTAACCATCGCGCCAGTTGGCCGGCCCTTAAACATTAAACTTTTAATTGTAGCTATATGTCAGTTATTTTATTTGAAAAAATAGAACTAGACTACACATTTTTTATGTCATTGTTTATAAATGTCTCATTACTAGCTCAGGGCAGAGCACTTTTGTGTAATAAATATACTTATTGAATCAGTAAATATTGGTGGTTAAAGTAACAGTAAACTGATTTTTCAGGTTTTCAAGCCAATTGTTGAAAAATTTGGCTTCAAATTTAATTGCGACATTAAAATGAGGTAAGTTACTTATTTCTTAGCCCTTAGACTCACTAGTTGTGCTAAAAATAGTGGGAAAATTAGACTTTAGAGAACTGTCATTCTGGAAGCCACACATTACCTTACATTTCCTGTAGGAAATAATTGTGCTTGTGGCTTAAAAAACAATAAGCAGTAGAGGCATGGGGACTGGGAAGCAGCTACATGTGATGTTCACTTGTCTTTTGGCAATAATATTTTTAAGGGGATTGTACACTGAGGCACCTTCATGTCTAGTAGTCTCCATGCCCAGCACAGAGTGAATGCTCGCTGTGTGCTGACCGCTGGATGGGGCACGACAGGGTCATGAAAAGGGTTCTCTTCCACAGTGCAGTCAGGATTATTTTCCTAAGAAACACGATGGCATTCAGGTCATTTCACTTTAACGCTTTCCTCTGCCACATAAGAAGGCCAGATTTCTTGATGTGGCATTTAGTGCATTGCAGTCTTGTTCCAATTGACCTTTCTGGCTTCATTCTCCCTCCTCCTCCTCTCAACGCATGTTATATTCTAACTACATGATTGCCAGCTATTTCTTAAACATACTTTGTGCCTTCCGACTTCGGTGTCTTTGTTCATGTTATTTCTCTCCTGCTGTCCTAAAATTTGGAAATCCCATATTTTTCCAAAATGAAACTTGTATTTTCTTGTGTGAATTGTCCATGAGTGTGCCTCAGTTGGAATTCATATTTGTACCTCTGTTGTCATTCTCTGTACTGCCTGAGTTGTGTCTGGTAGGTTGTATGTGGAGCTATCTCCCTACCAGAAGGGAGCTCCTTGTGGATAGGGGTATTGTCATTCTCATGTACGTGTTCTCAGCATCTTCTATAGAATAAATGACACTGGATAGTGAAGTTAAAATTTCATTAGTATTCAGCTACTGCAATACTCATATTATTTATTGAGCACATATTATGTGCCAGACATTATTTTAGGTACTGGAATATAACAGGAACAAAATAGACAAAGGTCCTGCTGTGAAGCAGCTTATATGCTAAAACAGCACTGTCAACAGAACTTCTTGCACTGAGGGAACTGTTCCCTACCTGTTCGATATGGTAGCCACTAGCCACGTGCCTGTTGACTTGAAATGTAGATAGTGCGGCTGGAAGCTGAGTTTTTAATTTTATTTAATTTAAAAGTAAATAGTCACACGTAGATTGAGACTGCCATATTGGACAGCAGATCTAAAACATCATTTAGAAATTTCAAACATGAATTACATGGTTGGATATCATTCACATGTTATTTTATGGTAAATATTGAGCTTTATTTTTGTTGTGCAGTCAGTTTATGTGTTTGTCATATTTTTTATAGGGGCTACTACCCAAAAGGGGGTGGTGAAGTGATTGTCCAAATGTCACCAGTTAAACAATTGAACCCAATAAATTTAACTGATCGTGGCTCTGTGACTAAGATATATGGAAGAGCTTTTGTTGCTGGTGTTTTGCCACTTAAAGTAAGTTGTCTAGATGTTCTTAGAAGTGTATGTATGTTTCGATAAGTATTGTACATCTAAAATTTGAAATTATTGAAAGAATTTAATTTTTAAATCTTCATTAAAAATTTGTTCTTAAAATTCTGTGCTCTCTAATCTTGAAAATCAAGTTTTTATGTAATGCTTGTAAAATGTGATTATTTTATTTGTCTTTGAAGGCTTGAAAACAGTTGTCAAAACAATCACTAACTTTATTTTATTCTATTTTTCTGTTTTGCCAAAATAGGTAGCAAAAGACATGGCGGCGGCGGCTGTAAGATGCATCAGAAAGGAGATCAGGGATCTGTATGTTAACATTCAGCCTGTTCAGGAAGCTAAAGACCAAGCTTTTGGCAATGGAAGTGGGATAATGTGAGACAGTATACTTTTACCTAGACATTGTGTGAAAAGCCCCAAATAATTAGCTTATTTAGATGAAAGATTTGTAGTATTTTTGTTTAAATTTGTAGTTTTAAAAGAATATATTTTAAAGGGCATTTATACCCCAAACAACAGTATGGTGAATTAGGATGATTATTTTATTCTGAGGATGACTTGCCTTTATTACATTGTAAGAGCCCTTTTCTTTATAGTGAACTTAAATGTTGAAGCTAATCAGAAATTAACCTTTGAAGGTGATCCTAAGAGAAATATTTCCTGTTGCTTTTTTATACCTCAAATGTGAAGTCAGTTTATAAGCAAATACTGGAAATGGCAAAGATTTATTTAGAAAAGAAATATAACTATTATATTAATCCAATTAGAAGTTACTGATTTAAGTGTTATAAAAATGCTTTAATTGATATTTTTAAAGTATGAATGTACCTTTTGTAGATATTTAAAATTTAAAGTCTCTTTCAGTTTCTGTTAAAGGATTTAAAGTAAATGCATGCTCTATCAGTACATATGATAGTACTATCTAAAAACTATGAAACAAAACCAAATATCTCTGTAGAAAGACCTTTTCATTTAAGATAATCATAAAATATTTTATAATACAGTGTGCCTGTGAAATGGTACCACTTAGTGCTGATGACATAACTTCTAGGAGGGCCATTCCTTACCTGTGAGTGGGTTAGAATCTAATGTGACTTCTTGTCTGAAGAACTGAAGAGTACTAATGCCTTGATGAAGATGGAGAATGCTAATTATGTCGCTCTCTGTATGAAGAATTTCACTTTTGCAATATGCTAACCAGATCTAGTTCTTCGTGTCTAACAGTTACTATTCTCCTATGCTGTATTTGCATGTAATTTTAGAGTATTTATAGTGTAGGTTGTAATACTCTTTTTTTCCTGTATAGCATTATTGCTGAGACATCCACTGGCTGTCTGTTGGCTGGATCATCGCTTGGTAAACGAGGTATAAATAAAAGGGATCCACAGTTTCCAGTGCTGCTGTAAAATTCTTCATCTGTTGGGATTAGAATGTTATAGAATGATAGATGACAAATTTAAAAGGATACAGTTAGGGCCAGCTGAGTGGCTCAGTTGGTTAAGAGCACAAGCTCTGAGCAACAAGGTCACCTGTTGAATTCCCACATGGGCCAGTGAGCTGCACCAAAGCTGAGCTGCTGCTGAGCTGCCAACAGGTGGCAGGTTGGCTCAGCTAGTGAGAGCACGTGCTTCTAACAACAAGGTGGCCGGCTCAACTCCTGCGTGGGATGGTGGGCTACGCCCATCCGCAACTAAGATTGAACACGGCACCTTGAGGTGAGGTGCCGCGAACTGCCGACGGGCACCCGGATGGTGACTGGACTTGACACTGAGCTAGCTGCACCCTCCACAACTAAGAATGAAGGACAACAACTTGGCTGGTCCCCTTCCTCAATTCCCTAACACTGTTCCACTTTCCCAATTCCCCAATAAAATCTTAAAAAAAAAAAAAGATACAGTTAACTGATTCTGTTTTAGAGTCAATTAACTTTTCAGTGTCTTCCGTAACTTTATACTGTGAACATTTTCAAACACAGAAAAACGGAATGACTAGTGAGCATCCATACACTGTTCTCCCAGATTCACTGGTACTGAACATTTAGCTACAAGTTGTGTATGTTTATGAACCATTCCAATGTAAGTTGCAGCAATAGTGAATACTGCAGCAGGTATGTCCAAAGGACAGTACCTATATAATCACAATGCCATTTTTACACTCAAGTTGTCTGTTATATTCGAGACATAGCCAGTTGCCTCCAAAATATTTATTAGAGCAATGTGGAATTTTTTTGAGTACATACAACATTTGATTATCATATCTGTTTCTTTTTTTTTTTCTGTCATGATACTGACATTTTGAAAAGTCCAGGCCATTTTCTCATAAGATTTCCCACAGTTCAGATTTGTCTGATTGTGTCATGATTAGATATAAATATTTGCATGTGCTAAGCTCTCAGAAGATTAAATATACATAAAGATCTTATCCTAAAAGTTGAGGGTGAGTTCAGAGGCCTAAAGAATGTTATACCAGTGCTAACGGGGTTATACTGATTAAACTTTTTGCCTCTTAGTAATTTAGTTTTTTTACATTGTGCCTGTCATAGGTGTAAACGCAGACAAGGTTGGAATTGATGCTGCCGAAATGCTATTAGCAAATCTTAGACATGGTGGTGCTGTGGATGAGTATCTGCAAGACCAGGTAATGCCACTTAGGATTAAAACCTTCAAGCCTGTTAGATTTGAATATCTGGTAGTTAGATTGAATATAAATTTTAGTCATTGACTTTCAGACACTGATTGGCATGTCTTAATCAGTTTTTAAAGTATTATTCAGGAATTTATATTCTTCAGATTTTAGTCCTCACCTTACTTGAACTGGCTTCAGCATTTGGTACAATTGATCACTTCTTCCATCTTGAAATACTTGCTTGGTTTCTGAAATACTGTTATCTTTCTGTCTCACTGGCTATATATTCTAGTCTCTTGGCTTATTTGTTGTTTTCATCTTCTCAACTTTTAAATTTTGAAGAGCCCCTCGGCTCAGGATCATACCCCTTCTCTGTATCTGCATACACTCCTTCAGTAATTTTATGCTGTCTCACGGGTTAAGTACTGTATGTATGCTGACAACTTCCAAATTTTATCAATAGCCCAGACCTTTCTTCTTAACCCCATACTCATTATATCCCTATGCCTGTCACCATCTCCACTTGGATGTGTCGCAGATTTCTCACACTTAACATATCTACTCATTGAGAAATGCTAGTGAATATTTCCAAAAAAGATCTTTTTATGGTCCACTGTCATGATAGATTTTTCTTTCTACTACACTTTTCTTTCCTTAATCTCAAATTAGCAGCCTACATCTAGAAATGTATTATTTAAGATTTCTTAACCAGTTTCTTAAGACAGTTCCCCTTGTTTCTCGTCTCTTCCTTCTTGCCCAAGTCTACTCTACATCCCCAATAGTTCTGTATTGGATGTATTGATACTTGTTAAGATGTTGTAGTTTTACAGCGTGGAAAAAGCTTGTCATTATATATATCAGCTTGTAGATAGAGTTGATCTGGTTAAATATATTAACTTTGAACTCTGTTTTACTCTTAAACATTAATTTTTTAAAAATCTGTATTGAGAACTGCTGCTAAGCATTTCTGTACCACACCAGAGACTTTGGGTGACACAGGTTTTTATCATTATCATAGGATTTCTGGAAACCTGAAGAAATAGAAATTATTTTAGCTATTTTGATTTCTAGTAGTAGTTTTATATGGGAAGCAATAGAATTGTTTTTTTTTTTTTTCCAGTTGAGCCATCCTGCCACCTGTTGGCAGCTCAGCAGCAGCTCAGCTCGGGGGGAAGCAATCGAATTTTTAACTCTAAATATTAGTAAATTGTTTTTTCCTTTACTTTTTTCAATAGCTGATCATTTTCATGGCATTGGCCAGTGGAGTTTCCAGAATAAAAACAGGACCAGTTACACTCCATTCACAAACGGCTATACATTTTGCTGAACAGTTAACAAAGGTGAGTGTTCCATCAGAAAGAGTAATTGATTTTTATTGTACCCAATTTTGGGTCAAATTTTAATAAACAGAAAAGTTAATAGTAATCATAATTGCTGTAATTGCTATCACTCACTGACTGCTACCTTTGTGGCAGACATTGAACTAACTCAGCAATTTATGTGAATCATCTTACTCTGCGTGAACATTTTAGGTGGCTATTTGTTATTATTCCCATTTTACATGTGAGTAAAGTGAGGCAGAGGGGTTAAATTAATTGCTCAAGACCACATGGTTAGTGGCAGAGCCAGACTTTGAGGAAACCCAGGAAAGCATATGCATATATCAAAACCCACATGTACTGCCTTACAGAATAAGTAAAGATGTTTTGATGGGAACTGTGAAATCAAATCACAAGGGATTTGTAGTTGGCTATAAACTTAAATATTTGTATAAAATTTTGAATGTTTTATTTCCTTGTGATTCTATTGGTAGAACTGAATATTTACTAAAATTCTAACATTTACCAGCAATCTTTTAGAAGAGTTACAATTTTTAGTGAAAAAGACTTAACATTGTATAAGCTCATATTTATACCTTATCTACAGAATTCTTAGTTTAAAACATGATTAACATGTATATTGCATCTGAAATCACTAATTTTTTATAGAAAATTTGGAAAATAGAGGAAGAAACCTGCCCATAATTCCTCCTTGCTAGTAAAACCACTGTTGAATTTAAGTATTTTTCTCCTCTCTTAAAATTGTTTCTCTGCATTTTTTATAACTAATGCACACAGCTTCATTTCTTGCCTCTTTCAGTAACTTGTAGCATATTCTCATTTGCTACTTTCTTTTGTAATTTTATAAAGTAATATAAAATTTATAACTCAAAATTTTATGAAGGAGGGTGCTGACCGTAATCATTTTTTAAAATTATGAAAGTAATGCACGCTAGTTTAAAAAAAAAATGAAGCATTACAGAAGTGTACTAAGCACAATGCCACTGTTGTCCTACTCCTAACAGTTTATTTGTATGATTCTTTTTTTTTTTTTTAAGATTTTATTGGGGAATTGGGGGAGGGGAACAGCGCTGGGGAATTGGGGAAGGGGAACAGACAAGTTGCTGTTTTTTGTTCTTCAGTCTAGTTGTGGAGGATGTTGCTTCACTGGCCCATGTTGGTATTATCATTGTGCTCTTCCTGGATCAGGCAGATTGGTCGCCGGCCTCTGGGCGGCCACTCACAGCGGCTCTTGGCAGCTCACGCCGGCTGCTGGCCGCTCATGCCGGCTGCCGGCCTCACATGGTAGCTTATGGCAGCCCACTGCAGCAGGGGCTGCCACCTACGCCGTTGCTGGCGACTCACAGCAGCCCAGCTCCAGGTCGAGCTGTTGTTCACCATCTTAGCTGTANGTTTAAAAAAAAAATGAAGCATTACAGAAGTGTACTAAGCACAATGCCACTGTTGTCCTACTCCTAACAGTTTATTTGTATGATTCTTTTTTTTTAAGATTTTATTGGGGAATTGGGGGAGGGGAACAGCGCTGGGGAATTGGGGAAGGGGAACAGACAAGTTGCTGTTTTTTGTTCTGGCCCTCATGTGGGATCCGAACTGGGGCCCTGCTGCTCAGAGCTGGCATCCCAAGCCAGCTCTTAACCAACGCGCCACTCGGCCGGCCCAATTTTGTATGATTCTTAATAATATATACTTTTTTGTTTCTGGAAAGCATAGATAGATTTTGGTTAAATTGTAGGAAAAGGCTGAAAGGAATTGCAGGCAAATGGTATTTGATATAAAGAGATATTTAACTATTTTTCATTATACTTTTGCTGGAGTTGTATTCCTTATAGTCTTCACTTTTTATAGTACTTTGCACATAGTGAACACATGTTATTTGAAGTGAATACACAGTGGAAAGTGCCTTGAGCTGTAATTGATGGGTCTGGTTTCTTGTTCAGCTTGGTTGTGTTTTAACTGAATGACGTGGGGCAAGAGGCTTCCCGAGCCTTGGTGCAGACACTTCATCTGGAAAAGCAGGGACTGGGGCTGTAGTCCCTAAAGTCGTCTTCTAACTAAAAATTTTTATGGTTTTTTAGTAGGTTAAAAATGATTTCTGTAGCTGTTACCTGTGTTACGTATTTACATAATGCTTGTAATTTGAAAAAAATATATATCTATATATATAGCTACACAGTAATTTGGCTGTCTGGTTCAGAATTCAGTGTTTATTCACTCAACAACAATTTTCTTTCTTTTTCTTTAAATATTTCTTTGGAGGAAGGGATACGATACTTCTACCTAATTAAGAGACAGAGGTCTTTTATTTTTTCACACTTATCATGCCATGAAGTCACAGGCAGTGGGTTCCAGCAGCTCAGGTTCCTTTCCACTGGTTCTCACCCAGTGTGCTTCTCTGGGTGCGGCAGGCTGGCCCTGCAGTTGAACCCAGGTACCCTTCTCTTTGGCTTCTTTTTCCGCTCAGTTTCCTTCACACATTTCAGGAAGCTATCTCAGCTCAAGGAGTGCTTAATATGCTCAATACAAACACTAATTCTCTTGGCAAGACTTGCCCTTCAGTTGTTTGTTAACAACAATGCCAACCACATGCTGTGTAACACTGTAGACTTCCCGTTTTGGCATTTGTGGGGCATTCCTTTTTGAACAGCGCCCATTCCCTTGGTGTCTGTAATGTCACCTTCCTTGTAGATTCGCGTGTACCTATGTGGCCCAAGGAACAACTGCATGTTTTCCAAAAGGCCCAGAGAACACAGCGCGGGGGCCTCTCCTCTTTCCCTTGGTGTTGGTCATTTTGGTGAATTACTGGAAGAAGGCGGTTCTGGCCAAAAGGAAGAACAATCATTTTCCACTGTGTGTCAGTACACTGCCGCAAAATACTGAAACTGGAAGAATTTGTGAATATTACTGTTCAGCAGGGCCCCAGAATGATGGTTTTCAAATTGTATTTCAAAGAATCCTAAGGCATTAAGCATACTTGAAATCCCTTTGCCACGAATTCAGTCATCCTACTCAGTTGTTTAGATTTTAATTGTCTTGTTAAAATGAACACATTCGCTTTTTAAAAATATTATTTTCCAGAGTACAGTGATAGAGATAAAATATTTCAAGGCCAAACTTGAATTACAAGTGAAAACTACAATGTCAAGCCCAGTAAAGATGAAGGAAGATGTTAGTCATCACCTACTCCCACCTTTCTTCTCTGAACTACATCTTTCTGAGTAGAATATTTAGGGAATTCAACTGGCAAGAAATTTTTTTTTATTTAATTGGGGAAGTGGAACAATGTTGGGGAATTGGGGAGGAGGACCAGCCAAGTTGTTGTTATTGAGTCTTAGTTGTGGAGGGCGCCGGGCGCCAGTCGCCATCTGGCTGCCCGTTGGCAGCTCGTGGCTTCTAAGCTCAAGGTGCTGTGTTTAGTCTTAGTTGCGGGTGGGCGTAGCCACCATCCCATGCGTGAGTCGAACCAGCAGTCTTGTTGTTAAGAGTGCGTACTCTATCCACTGAGCCATCTGGGTAGCAGCTCAGCTCAATGTGCCGAGTTTAGTCTTAGTTGCAGGCAGGCATAGCCCACCATCGAACAGGCAGTCTTGTTGTTAGGAGCACGTGCTCTCACCAGCTGAGCCATCCTGCCACCTGTTGGCAGCTCAGCAGCTGCTCAGCTTGGGTGCAGCCTCACAGGCCCATGTGGGAATCAAACCAGTGGCCCTGTTGTTCAGAGCTCATGCTCTTAAGCTAACTCTTAGCCAACTGAGCCACTTGGCTGGCCCCTTGGTAAGAAAATTTGAGGGAAATTAAAGGGTAATTTGATACTTAACAAGATAAAAGAAGTATAAATGCTTCAGTGCCGTGTTTTAGAAAAATTTTAGGAAAGTAGGTAGTGGAGAGGCATTATAATTAACAATTGAGATTTTAAAATTGATACTTGCCTAGGCAGTGCTTCTAGGGGTTCTGATTCAATGGGTATAGAGTGGGGCCCAGGCTGTATATTCTGACAAAACTCCCCAAGTATGTATGCCTCTGAACAAGAACCATGGTTCTGGAGCAAAGTATTTTGTGTCTAGGCTATTGAAATTCTCATGACTTGATCTTTATGTCTCTAACTTTTTCAGCAAAACAAGTTTAATATTAACTACCTGCCTACTTAACCTGGAGTTATGGGCTCTTTCTTCTATTCCTCTTCATATTACTTACATACTAAATACTCTTCTGGTTTCAGGCTAAATTTACTGTGAAGAAATCAGAAAATGAAGATGATGCCTCTAAAGACACTTACATTATCGAGTGCCAAGGAATTGGAATGACAAATCCAAATCTGTAGGGTATTTACCTTGTAAATGATACCGCAAAGATGTATTGCACTAATTCATTTTGTAAATACTACAAAACAACGAAGAAGTAACTTATTAAAGGACCTGACAAATTTGGAGATAAAGTACAGAGTGTTCTAGATTTACTGAGAATGCTTCATCAAACTAATCTCACTTTGAATTTCTCCTGAGATATGGACAATGAAATAAACAAGATTTGGTGGATATGTCTGTTAGCTGATTTCAATATTAAAGTATTGATATAAAATATTTCCCCTGTGAAGTGTGGTTTTTTTTTTATGTACTAAATTAAGTCAGGAATGTAAATTTGATCTGTAATTTGTATATAGTTCTAATGATTTTGCTGAAGTTTCACATAAACTCTAATGAGAGAATTTTATGTACAGTACTTGCTGTGTCAACAATAAGTTAATTAGCATTTTCTCATTCTAACTACATATACTTTCCTTCTAGTTGGGCACTTGGCAAATATTGATTTGAAATCTGCTGAATATGTTCTGAAAGCCAAACAATGAGAACTGCAAAATTTCAACCCCATAGATGTTTTGTTTGGCTTGTAGTACTAATAATTGAGTGCCTTTAGAACAGGATGTGCTTTTCGTAGCTTGGTATGATCTTATACCCAGCCGCTTCCACATTTAGATGACTTCCTGTCCTGTAGGCAATTGAGGCTGTGACTCAAATGAAACTGGTTTGGTGTATCAGCTAAATATACTCTACTGTAAGGTAATGCAGAATTCATTAAAACTTGGTTCTGTCTTGGATGTTACCAGTGATGATTAAAACATAGTCCAAGATATAGATCCAGAGGATGGTATTGTCATACATTCAGAAAGTGCTGAGTTAGTCTGTATAGAACAGTATAATGAAAAAAATTCCTCCATGTACATAATCGTAATTCTTGTCATTGATTCCTGTGGCCTTGGACAGTTGGGTTTAGTTTGCTTTAAAGATGAGGATGATAGTATTGTTTGCTGTTTATATTTTCACACTGTAGATAAATTTTATAAACCCCTTTTCTGTAACAAATGAGATATGAAATATTTCTATTTCAGAGTAAAACTACACTTACAGGTTTTAGAGGGGTTGTGATAAATTTGAGTCTCTTCAGACGGGATTCTTGCAGCTTCTGACAGGGTGTGCAGCGGTGTGAAAGATCTGCTGGGATACAGAGATTGGGAACTGTAGAGGGAGTGATTCAAGGTCAGCAGTGTACATGATAAGTTCATGATTAATCTTGGCGTGGGTGTGGCACTCTTGTTGAGTCTCAGTTTAGGTAAAATGAAGTTCGGACTACTGCAAAGAAATTTTTGGTGAGTACTAGAAGTGACTTGAATTTCTATTTATTTTCCCCAAATTGTATTTCTCTTTCTACTTCTATATCTAAAATTCTATTTCAGTGTTTCTTCTGTTATTTAAGACCACGTAATACAAGTAACTCTGTTGATTCAACACTGTATGTGCAATGGTCTTTAAGAATAGTCTTTAAACCAGTCGCCTTCTAACATGGGTATTCATACCTCTTGTTTCACAAAGCCTTCCCATGAATTTCACGTTTGCAGATGTCAGTTGTTTTTACAGAATTTGTTTCCAAATTTCTCAACTTAAATATGTGCTTCCTCCTAAAATTCAGTTGCCTGCCGTCAAGATAGGGTTTTGCAGGTTCTCCTTTTTAGCTTCTCTTTCACAGTCACCGTTCTTCCTCTTTACAAACTAAAAGCTTATTTTTTACCTGTCCTATTTCCACAATGGTGCATTCCCCTGGAGTATAATAAAATCTCCAAGCCATCAAATAAAGGGACAATTTTAAATATTAGTCTCTAAAAGCCTACTCAAACTAAGATATAAACCTGTATCTTATTTTATATACTTGCATGATTTTAAGTAAGGAGGTGAAAACTTCCATGTTCACTTTCTGTAAGTAAATAGTATATCTTTAAACCTTATTTTCCTGATTATTAGGAGAAACATTTTCATTGGCTTTGCCAAAAGGCTACTATAGAAATTTTAAATCCATTTGTTTTTAAACTTTGGTAGCTTACTGCTTAGTAAGAATTATGAATTCTTTGCTCTCTGTTCATCCGTACCATGTGGAGTGTGTTGTAGCTTCTATAATCTATATTATTAACATTCTGTAAATAATGCATACAACAGTTATTAATATATATTTTAAAGACCCACACTTGTTTGGTAACCTGTTTGCTATTGATTTCCATTGAGCTGTCTCATCCCAGTAATTAATAATAATCATCCATAGATAACATGATCTAATTTTTTAAGGGCATCATTTCTCATTAAGAGGTATATTTCTATAAAATTTTACTTTTATATTTAATATTTCAAAAAGTATTTTTGTCATGCTCAATTATATAGTAATACTAACTGTAATTAATGAAGCCAGCAGATATTTCAAACATTTATAAGTGTCTTGTGTTCACTGAAATTTTTAAAACTTAAAGCAAATTAGTATGCATGTTTTTATTTCAGAGAAATCTGATAAGGTGAACTTCTAAGCATAAGAATATAAAATTGAGGAAGTAGAATGTGTTTTTTTTAATGGAGATAATGGATATCAAACAACTATGGTTTTAAAGTCCAGTGGAAAAATTTAAGAGGGATAATTTTAAAATAGAATTCTTAAATGGCAATACAGGCATACCTGGTTTTACTGCATTTTGCAGATACTGCATTTTTTTACAGATTGAAAGTAAGATAACGCCACCAGCAAAAAGATTACAACTCACTGAAGGCTCAGATGATGGTTAGCATTTTTTAACAATGAAGTATTTTTTAATTAAGGTATGTACATTGTTTTTTAAACATAATTCTATTGCACACTTAATAGACTACAGCATAGTGTAAACATAACTTTTATATTCAGTGGGAAACCGAAAAATTTGTGTGACTCGCTCTATTGTGGTGTGGAGCCAAACTGCAGTTATCTTCAAGGTATGTCTGTATTTATAACATTGAAATGAGATCCTTGGCTATAACTGTTGAAATTTATGATGAAAAGTTTTGATGCCCAGATATCTAGTTAAACAGTCTTTCTTTGTATGTGAGGGTGTCTTTGGAAGAGAGGAACATTTGAATTGGTGAGCTGAGTAAAGCAGATGGCCCTCCCCAATTTGGGTGAGCACTACCCGGTCTGTGGAGGGCCTACACAGAACAAAATGGTAGAGGAAGTTGAATTCGCGTTCTGCCTGACTGCTGGATATGGGACATCAGACTTCCTCTTGCCCTCGGGGCTCTTTGTTTTTAAGCCTTTAGACCCAGACTGGAATCTACACCATTTGCTATCAGCTGCTGGCCTTGGGTCCCCAGCTTGCAGATGGCAGATCGTGGAACTTTTCAGCATCCATAATCACATGACATAATAATACCTTATAATAAATCAGTCTCTCTCTCAATATATAGATTGTTCCTCTCAACATATATATTTTCTATTGGCTCTGTTTCTCTGGAGAACCCTGACTAATATAAATGATGTTATCAGAACCTGAAAGTCTGAAGGGAAGGGTTCTCTCTTACTGATCAGATCTCAAGCAGGGGTACTTTTTACATGGTGATCAGACCATAGGAGCATTGTAGCTGGTACTCACACTCTTAAGGGAGGGCGATGCAACCTGGCAGGTGCTTGGAGATTCAAGTAGCATGGTCCTAAGGTGAGGGAGCTCAGTGGGGCTAATATTCCTACTGCCAGGGGGTTACAGCAGGGTATGTGGCAGGGCCAGTTGAAAGAAGCTCAGAGGGTTTGCTGCTGCTGCTGCTAGAGCAGTCCTGACAGGAACTGGAAGCAGGAGAAGAGTCCTTTTTCCCTTCCTCTTTTCAAGCTCCACCCGGGGTTTCCCTTCTGCAGAACCTAACCAAGGAGCCAGTTGTCCAGGGAGTCTGGAAATTATAATTTACACACCCAAACATGAAACGGTTTTGAAAGCTATGCTTAGAGCTGAGATACAGTAAATAGTCAGTAGACCAGCGGTTCTCAACCTGTGGGTCGCGACCCCTTTGGGGGTCGAACGACCCTTTCACAGGGGTTGCCTAAGACCATCGGGAAAACAAAAAGATATTTACATTACGATTCATAACAGTAGCAAAATTACAGTT